TCTTTGGGTGCTTCCTCCCTCTTCTCCCCTTGTTTGCAACCATCTCTAACTCTGAACACCCCCCGCACCCCACAAACTCAGCTTTCCATGTTGATCTTCAATCATCTGAAGGCTTCATCTATGGAGCCTTCTCAGCTTAGTCTGCCCTCTGCCGTACCAACAGCAGAAGCAGCACCACTCCAAAAGCCAAACCAAGACTCAGGGGTTTTTTTAAATTTTAATTATTATTATTTATTTATTTATTTTGCAAGATGCCCCTCTGGGATCTAAAGACATCCTCAAAAACAGACAAAGGCAAGACCCCCCCCCCCGCAAAAAAAAGCAACAGAGATCAATCTGGGCAGGTCAAAAGCCACCTTCTACTTCGGTTAAAGAGAAAACAGACTCGGTTGGGTCTACCAAGGGACACCAAAGCTTGGCAGACCCAGCTCCTTGCAACTTGCGATTCTAAGCTACCAAAACACGGCTTTTTTTTTCTCCTTTTTTTGCTGAGTGCGCAGTCTGGGCCAGAAAATTCCTCTCGCCCAACCCCCCCACCACCAACGACCCCGCTGCCTCGGTTTCCCTCCTCGACAGGTTAGCGTGGACATCCAGGAGAGAGGAGAGCAACACCACCAGAATGGACTGCACCCTCCCCCACGTACCCAACACACAGCTCCAACAAGCGTTCAGCCCCGTCAAAATGCCCACTTCTCGTCCATTTCCTGGGGAACGGTGCCCACACAATGCCAGGTTTGCCGGGTGCCTCGGCTGCCCGCACCCCGGGGTCCTGTTAGCACCCACCATTGGCCACCCACCCCCCCAAATGATCCCAAGGAACACAGAGACAAGGCTTGGGTTTAGAAAGAATTGGGAAGCTGAGGTCCCATCATCCAGGGCAGGGAGGGAAGTCTACCTGAGACACCCCCTCCCTCCCTCACCCCAACTGTCTCAAAGGTGTAGACGCACCCTTTCCCCCTCGAGCCAGGCGGGTAAGGGAGAAGTGCCCACGATGCAAAGACCCAACTCAGCTCGGTTAAGGACCTCCTGGTCTACCCAGTGGCAAAAAACCCCACATTTTTTTCAACCTGGGTGAGAGAGGCTGCCACTCAGATACCCCTTGAAATGTTCTCTTGATCCCCCCCTTTTTTTTTTCAATGGGGGGGGATATCTAGGATGGACCAAGCCCCCTCCCTTCCTCACCCAGCTGAAGGTTCCCCAGAGCGTGAACCCTGGTGGGGCAGCCTCATCCTCCCCTCCCAATTGGCATGGGTAGATGCCCAGAGCCCCCCACCCAAAAAACCCAACCCCCCCTTAAGGATAATCAGTCTGATGAGCGGCAGGGACGTCCCCCACCCCACCTCTCAACTCTCCCCTGCCATTTCTCTCCCCCTTGCTCCCCCAACACCACCACCTCTGCGACCCCTCCCCCTCCAACTCTTCCAGCCAGAGGAAGAAGGGAAGAAAAAAAGAAAGAAAAGAAAAGAAAAATAAGGGAAGTGGGGACTCACCTGGAAAGGCCAGGGTCGCCAAACACACGCCGGTAGTCCACCAGCTCCGGAGCCAGCTCAGCTGCTGTCTTGGCCCGGCCATCGGTGACTTTTCTTCGCCCGGTTGAGGGGGGGGAGATTTGGGGGAAAGTTAATTGGGGTCGAGGCGCCGGGCAGGAAGGCTCCCCCGGGGATGGGGCATCAATGGGATCCGCGCCAAGGACCCCTCCCCTCCTTCCTTCTTCTTCCTTCCTTCTTCTTCTTCTTAGCCAAGAGGCAAAGGGGGTCGGGGGGGCGAGCAGAGGAGCCCCCGGGGGTCGCCCCTAGACAAGCCCCCTCCTGGGGCAGAGGCAGCAGCGCCCACCGACCCTTCTCCCGGCCTTGGGTGGGTTGGGGGAGAGATCTGGTGGGATCTGGAGGTGTGTGTGTGCGGGTGTCAGTCGATCCTCGGCTTCCCCGCCGTCGTTCTCTCCGATCGCTTGCGGTCCTTCTCAACCCAACCCAACCCAACCCAACCCAACTCAACCCAACCAGGCGCTTCTTCAATCCGGACCGAGCCCAAAAAAAAAAGCGGCTCACATCGGATCGGGAAAGGAAGGAAGGAAGGAAGGAAGGAAGGAAGGAAGGAAGGAAGGGAGAGAGAGAAAGAAAGAAAGAGAGAGAGAGAGAGAGAGAGAGAGGCGAGCCCAGCGGAGCTTGGGAAGAGATCGCGGAGTCTGGCTCCCGGCTTAAGCGCTGGGCTGCGGCTGCTCAGAGGGCCTCGGCGGGGCCAGGAAGGAGACCCCCCATCCAAGGCTCGGCGGGGCGGCCGGAGGCGCAGCTGGAGCGGGCGGCCGGGCGTTGCAACATCAGCCGCCGCCGCCGCTGCTGCTGCTTTCTCAGGCTCCGAGCCTCGTTGAGTCTGGCCGGGCGGAGGAGAGAGAGAGAGAGAGAGAGAGAGAGACGGGAGCGCGCTTGGAGCCCACGCCCGGGCACGCGCAACGCCGGCGGCAGCAGCAGAAGGAAGAGAAGAAGCGGCGCGAAGCTCGGCCGGTCCTCAGCTCCGGACTTGTGGCTCCGCCCTCTCCCTCCCGCCCCGCCCGTGCTGTGACGTCACGGCATGGCAAAGCTCCCCGGGCGGGGTCTCCTGACTTAACCCGCTCCTGGACGGCGGGGCGCGTGCGCAGGGCGAGGGTCTCGCGAGGCTCCCAAATGGGCGGGAGGAGGGAGGGGAGTTTGGCTGAGGCGCGCTCTTTTCCCCGCAGTCAGGATTGATGGAGTGACTGACTGACTGGTTTTCCTTTCCTTCCTTCCTTCCTTCTCTCCATTTTCATCCCTCTTTTTTCCTTCCTTCCTTCCTCCCTCCCTCCCTCCCTCCCTCCCTCCTTTTTCTTTCTCTCCATTCTCATCATCCCTGTTTTTTCCTTCCTTCCTTCCTTCCTTCCTTCCTTCTTCCTTCTTTCCATTCTCATCCCTGTCTTTTTCTTCCTCCCTCCCTCCTTTTTTCTTTTCTCCATTCTCATCATCCTTGTTTTTTCCTTCCTTCCTTCCTTCCTTCCTTCCTTCCTTCTTCCTTCTTTCCATTCTCATCCCTGTCTTTTTCTTCCTCCCTCCCTCCTTTTTTCTTTTCTCCATTCTCATCATCCCTGTTTTTTCCTTCCTTCCTTCCTCCCTCCCTCCTTTTTTCTCCATTCTCATCCCTCTTTTTTCTTTCCTTCCTCCAGCCTTCCCTCCTTTTTCCTTTTCTCCATTCTCATCATCCCCGTTTTTTCCTTCCTTCCTCCCTCCCTCCTTTTTCCTTTTCTCCATTCTCATCATCCCTGTTTTTTCCTTCCTTCCTTTTTCCCTCTCTCCATTCTCATTCCTGTTTTTTCCTTCCTTCCTTCCTTCCTCCCTCCCTCCTTTTTCCCTCTCTCCATTCTCATTATCATCCCTGTTTTTTCCTTCCTCCTTCCCTCCATTATGCTCTATTCCTTCCATGCTGACTTTCGGTATTTACCTACTTATTCTCTACTCCTTTCTTCCTCCCTCCCTTCCCTCCTTCCCTCCATCATGCTCTATTCCTTCCTTGCTTACTTTTGGTACTTATTCTCTACTCCTTTCTTCCTCCCTCTCTCCCCCCCCCCACTTTTTTTCTTCCACCTTCTGTCATCCCGCTGACCTTTCTAACCCATCGCAGGCAGGTTCTCGTCCCGCTTTCCCACGTTCGCTTCTCCTACCGCCCCAAATCCAACAGCTCCTTTCAACCAACCTCTTCAGAGGTTGTAGAAAAAAATGCTTTTAAAAGGCTCTGATGATCCCAGCTGAGTTGCCCGATCGTCAGAGGCATTTAAAAGAAAAAAAAAGCCTCTGCCGATCAGGCAACTCAGCTGGGATCGTCAGAGCCTTTTAAAAGCATTTTTTTACAACCTATTCACCGAAGAGGTTGTAGAAAAAAATGGTTTTAAAAGTAAAAAAGAAAAATGACCACGCCCACCCAGTCACATTACACTCCCCCACCAAGCCACGCCCACAGAACTGGTAGTAACAAATTTTACATTTCACCACTGCCCCAAGGTTATCGGGCCTTTGGTCTTTGCCTGAACCTTGTTCCAACTCCAGCTTGTCTGTGAGAAAAGCAAGAGCCTCCTGTAGTTTCCACTTTGGGGTTGGGGCAGAGGTGGTATTCAACCAGTTCGCACCGGTTCGCGCGAACCGTTGCCGGAAATTTAGCCAAGGTTGCCGAACCGGTAGCGATGGCCGACTGGCTATGCCCCGGAACCGGTTCCTCGGTCGCCGCTCACTTGCCCCGCCCACCATGTTTGTCACTGCCATGTTCTTTGCGCACGCACATCCCATTGCCTTGCAATTCCAATGGAATGCGCATGCGTGAAGAACATGGCGATGGCATCAACTTTTTCCGCGACCTCCGGTACTTTTCAGTGCCGCCGCAGCTGCAAAGCAGCTCTCAAAGAGGCGGCTTCTTTGCCCGCCGCTTTCCAGCAGCGGCAGCTGGCTGGGGGCTGCCAAAAACTCCAATCAACTTGCTTTCCGGACTCAACCAGCCACCGCGGAAGATGAGCAGCCCGATGGTAGGAGAGGAAGGGGGGCTCGGGCTGGGGCCGCTAAAGGAGGGGAAATGGGGGCGACTGGCGAAGGGAGGTGGAAATTCCAAAATTTTTCCTACCTTTTCCTATAGGCATGGCTAGGTGGGGTCATGTGACTGAGTCGGCGTGGGCGTGAGTGACATCAAGTTGGCCACTCCCACTCAGTCACATGCTCCCTCACCTAGCCACGCGCATCGAACCGATAGCGAACATTTTTGAAACCCACCCCTAGGTTGGGGAAATCCTTCTCCCTTCATCCATTCCTTTGCCCCGGCAGCCAGTCAACGTTTGCCTCTTTTATTCCCAACCGACAAAAATCTCAAATCCTGATCTGTTCCATCTTGGGCAATGACAGCGAGGCACAAAAGCTTCGGAGAACAGCTGGTGCACCCCGCCGTTGAGAAGAGTGGTTGATCTGAAGCCCCATTAGATGCCTCCTAGGAAGAAATCAATGGCTGGCAAGGAAGAAGAAAGAGAAGGGATTCTGAAGGGGAGGGTGTTGTAAGCAACGAGGAATAGAAGGAAGGGGAGGGGGCAGGAGGGGAAAAAAACCTATAAAAAGATGACTTTTCGTGTCCTTGCCCTTCGTTCATGGCATCCCGGGTTCATTTCCACTAGGAGCGAAGGAAACCTGCGGTTGGAAATAAATATGCCAGTTATTTTTATTCCGGCCACAGGAAAGTAATAAAATCCTCAGGTCATTTTAGGAGACAGCATTTGCAAGGTTTGGATATTCCCTTCCCAGTAGAAAAATAGCTCATTAGGGACTTCAGCCCAATCTCCACCTCGTTGGGCTGCTAGGTTTCTACTTGCAGGAAAGGATTGGTGTATAAGTTTAATGCAACGGGTTACTGACTTTTTTTAGCCTGCAGACTGAAGTACGTGATTCTTCTAGAAATCTGTAGAGATTCTCCGTCATCCAAGTCAAAGTTGTCCCAAACATACTTTTTTTTCAGGAGGCAACTTGATTTTCTTGTTTTCTCTCTTTTGAAGACATTTTGCTTCTCATCCAAGAAGATTCCTCAGTTCTGACAGGATGGTGGGGAAGGGAAGGATTGATACTCCTTGCAGACAGCTGGTCATTTGCATCCTTTGAGAGGGTCGTTGAGGCCACTTGGAGGTTTATCTGTGTCCTCAGGGACACCTGAGCGGTGTTTCTGGTTCCTGTAGTCTTGTTGTGGCCCGTCAGCGGCCTGTACAGATTGTAGCTGATTCCAACAACGAGGAGGCTGGTGTGGTGCTGCGCCAGCAGCCTGTGCAGCTGGCACTCGAGTCGGACAATGAGGAGGCTGGAGAAGATGTGGTGCCAGAAGCAGGGATTCAGCCAGGGCCTTCAGACTCTCCAGAAGCTCCTTTAAGTGAAGAGGACGAAGAGGAGGAGTCTTTTCTCAATGCATGGGCACGCAGAGCTGCCAAAAGGCAGGAGTGGCTCCTCAGGAGGAGGTCTCCTCGAGAGTAAGGCTTGGGGCTAATTGGCCACTCCCTTAGCCTATTTAAGGAGGAACGCCGATTGCAGCAAGTTGTAGGGAACAACTTTAGTTCACTCTCCTTCGCGTCTGGATTCTCTGCAAAATTGCTTCTGGGCTTTCTGCCAACTCTAATAAGACTGTGATTACCTTATCTCAGAATTCTTGTAGGCTGTTAAGACAGTTTATTAACAGCCTTTGGTTGATAAAGACTGAGTTATTTGAGTAAAACAAGCATTGTATAGAGTTAGCGTGTGCTGCGTTCTTTGGGGTCCGTAGCTGGGGCAGAACAAGTCTGCAATTTTTCCTCTGGGAATCCATTCCTACTCCCACACCATTCAAAGGGTGTTGATCCCAAATTGTATAGGTAAAAGTCTGTAGAGATTCTCAGTCATCCAGGTCATGCTTGTCCCAAAGGTGCTTTTTCGGGACGCAACTGGACTTTCTTGTTTTTTCTTGAAGACGTTTCTTTGATTGTTCTAGCTAACCAAGAATTAACCCAGCCAAGGATAGAATTCTCTTTGGTAACGAGAAGATGGCTTGTTACACATCTAAAGTCTGATGCTAGGCTGTTTATTTCCAAGAAGTAGAAGGAACGGACAACAGTCTTACATTTAGAACAGGGGTGAAATCCAACAGGTTCTGCAGAACCGGTAGCGGAAATTTTGAGTAGTTCGGAGAACCAGCAAATACCACCTCTGGCTGGCTCCAGAGTGGGGTGGGTATGGAGATTTTGCAATATCCTTCCCCTGGAGTGGGGAGAGAATGGAGATTTTGCAGTATCCTTCCCTTGCCACGCCCACCAAGCCACGCCCACAGAACCGGTAGGGAAAAATTTTAGATTTCACCCCTGATTCAGAACTATTGGAATGCTATCCTCAGGAGGGAAAGGATGCAGACTTAGAAATTTACCAATTTAAGCAGGGGAATCATATAATATAGTTATCCAGGGCTCCTAGTGGGGCCTTATATTTCACGAAAAACTGTCCATGTAAATCAAGGGTCTTTCAATATCATTTTTTACTCGCCTGTAGGAATGCAAACGTTAGGCGCGAATAACCAGATCCACAAATGCAGACTTCATTTAGCTACTTTATTGTTCATGCCTATTTCACAGGAATCTTTCCAAACTGGCAGTTTATACCTGGGCAGGGGATGCGGTGGCTCAGTGGCTAAGACGCTGAGTTTGTCGATCGAAAGGTCGGCAGTTCAGCGGTTCGAATCCCGAGTGCGGCGTAATGGGGTGAGCTCCCGTTACTTGTCCCAGCTTCTGCCAACTTAGCAGTTCAAAAGCACGTAAAAAATGCAAGTAGAAAAATAGGGACCACATTTATTTATTTATTTATTTATTTATTTATTTATTGAATTTCTATACCGCCCTACTCCCGAAGGACTCAGGGCGGTGCACAGCCATGAAATAAAACACATAGATATACAAAATTTAAAATTGAATAAAATGATTGGTGGGAAGGTAACAGCGTTCTATGCGCATTTGGTGTT